GTCGAACTCAGGTCGTGAGCCTTGCATGACATGTACCATTTACTTGTCACTCTTCCTTGGTTCTTGATTTTTTTTTTTTCTGTTGACTTCTGGGTGCCCTGGAACTTGCTATGCATATCAGACTGGCCTCGAACTCAGAAATCTGTCTCTGCTTCCTAAGTACTGGGACTAAAGGTGCATGCTATAATACCCAACTTTCTTTTATTCTTCTTCCTTCCTCCTGCCCTCCTTCCCTCCCCCTCTCTTCTCCTTCCTTCTTTCCTTCCTTCCTTCCTTCCTTCCCTTCTCCTCTCTCTCTCTCTCTCTCTCTCTCTCTCCTATTCCCTCCCCCCTCCCTCCCTCTATCTTTCTTCCTTTCTTGACCTGGTTCTTTTGAAAACTCATTGTAAATAGACTGGCCTTGAACTCAGAGATCTGCCTGCTTCTGCCTCCTGAGTGCTGGGACTAAAGGTGTGCGCCACCACACCTGTTTTTTTTTTTCATGAATGTGCACATGTGAGCAGGTGCCCTTGGAAGCCAGAGAGGCATCAGATCTCCCAGAACTAGAGTAAAAGGTAGTTGTGAACTGCCCACTGTGTGTGTGCTGGGAACAGACCTTGGGCTCTCTGCAGGGTAGCAACTCTCTTAACTGTGGGTCATCTCTTTAAGTTCTCCGTACTTTGAGACACGTTCCTGCAGTTCTCCTGCCTCAGTCTCCTGAGCGCTGATTACAGGTGTGAGCCACCGTGCCTGGCTGGGCTTTTCTTAGCTACTTCCATGGCTCCTCCTTCCTGGTGTTATACACCTACCTCCCCAGAGACACCTTGTCTACCCCCCTCCCCACCTTATCTTCAACAGCAGCTCCACCCTCACCTCCTTCCGTTTTATTTTTCCTCCTGGCCTTTGCTGCCTGTGGCGTTCTGTAACTGTCTGTCCACACTGTAACTATCTACGTTCTGTAACTATCTGTCCACACTGTAACTATCTACGTTCTGTAACTGTCTGTCCACACTGTAACTATCTACGTTCTGTAACTATCTGTATGTTCTGTAACTATCTGTCCACACTGTAACTATCTACGTTCTGTAACTGTCTGTCCACACTGTAACTATCTACGTTCTGTAACTATCTGTATGTTCTGTAACTATCTGTCCACACTGTAACTATCTACGTTCTGTAACTGTCTGTCCACACTGTAACTATCTACGTTCTGTAACTATCTGTATGTTCTGTAACTATCTGTCCACACTGTAACTATCTACGTTCTGTAACTGTCTGTCCACACTGTAACTATCTATGTTCTGTAACTATCTGTCCACACTGTAACTATCTACGTTCTGTAACTATCTATGTTCTGTAACTATCTATGTTCTGTAACTATCTGTATGTTCTGTAACTATCTGTCCACACTGTAACTATCTATGTTCTGTAACTATCTATGTTCTGTAATTATCTGTCCACACTGTAACTATCTATGTTCTGTAACTATCTGTCCACATAGTTCTCTGTGTGCACTGCTTCCCGCCTGACTCACGGAGTACCCTTCTTACCAGTCTGGCCGTACTAACTTGCCCCCTGGCTCAGTGCTACTGGAGTGGCTGAACTGTTTTGAAGCTGCTTCTATCCTGGCAACTCTTTAGATCTGAGTGAACACCTCTGTTCTGTGATGGAGAAGAGGCTCTCGTATGGGCTCCAAACGCGGGCTGTTGTGTAGCTCAGCGGAAGATAGATGAGGCAGCGGAGCTCCAGTGGTGGACAGAGAGAGGGGATGGGGTCAAGATGGAGAGTAAAGAGAAAGAGCTCTGACCCACCAGCCAGCTCCCAAATAATGACATGGAGACTTCTTATTAATTATGAAAGCTCGGCCATAGCTTAGACTTGTTTTTTTTTTTTTTAACTATCTCTTATAACCCAAATTAACCAATTTCTACTCATCTACGTTTGTCACCCAACCTGTTTCCTCCGTGTCTCCACATGCCTTGACTCCTCCTTCTTCCTCTCTGCCCGGAAGTCCCACCTATACCTACTGGCCAGTCAGCTTTTATTCCACCAGTCACAGTAATACACCTTTACACAGTGCACAGATAGCCCACAACAGTGCAGACCACTGGAATCATAAACCGAGCCTTGAAATTCTCACAAAGTCAACGCCAGAGAACTGCAGTTAGACTCCTGCACGATGGCTCTCATCGTGGCCCCCACTCAGTCAGATTTGTTAAGTATTTAACTGATACACAGTGTTTTTCTGTGTAACTCCAAAATCAAAACCCAAACAACGTAGTTGGGAGAAAGGCGGAATGAAGGGAACTGTCAAACTGAAAGGTAGAGGAATAAAGAAAAGAAAAACATGGCAGCAGAGGATAGGGACGAAAGGGTAGCGATCAAGGCCTGTACCAAATGTGAAGGTATCAAAAGCCAGAGCAGCTCATGCGGTTGCTGCGGATGCAGGCAGAGACCAGTCTGGACCAGGATACTGCAGCTCTCAGACCTCACCAGAGAAGCACTGTGCAGTGGGCGGCAGTTAACACACTCAGATCTGGTCAAAATGCAGAGAAGAAGGGACAGTGACGAGCTCACACACGGGACCTCTGTATCACAATGTCACACCCTTCACTCTGAAAGCTGGAGTACACATGGGCTGTGGGGGGGCATGGCCGTGAGAGCTGGGCTCTGCCTGGTGCTGTCTTAGGTTTCTATTGCTGCAAAGAGACACAGTGACCACAGCAACTCTTACAAGGAAAACATTTAATCGGGGTGGCTCACTTACAGTTTCAGAGGTTCAGTTCATGATCATGGTGGCGAGCATGTGGTGTGCAGGCAGACATGATGCTGGCTATATCATGATCAGAAGGCAGCAGGAAATGGAATTAGACACTGGACTGGGTATCTTGAGCATAGGAAACCTCAAAGCCCACTCCTACAGTGACACACTTCCTCCAGCAAGGCCATACCCACTCCAACAAAGCCACACCTCCCAATAGTGCCACTCCCTACAAGATCCTGGGGGCCAATTACATTCAAATGACCACAAGTGCCTTAAAGGACCGACTGTGATCTCACAAGCATGTGTCAAATGTTTATGCTAAACAGTTTTTGTTTTTTTGTTGGAGATAGTGTCTCACCTCACACAGCCCAAGATGGCCTCAAACTTGCTCCTTAGCCTCAAATTGCGTGGGATCCTGATCTTCCTATTTTACCGTCTGGGGACACAGGCAGATAAGCATTTTACATAGGTTATCTCACAACTGTTGACTGTCAAATAGGGTGCTTGGGAAGACTCCACTAGCCCTAAAGGGCAGCCGTTAGTTCTGAGCAGTGATTGGACTGCTTAATACCAGGGTGCCTGGTTCCAGCCCATCCCATGAGCCAACCCAGCTAATGGCAGTCTGTGTGGGGTCTGGAGCTGTGGAGCACAGGCCTCTCTTTAGGACTAGGAATGTGAGGATTGAATATCAAGCTGCCTGTGTGCCACCTGTGCTCCTCAGCGTGGGCAGAGAACCAGAGAGTAAGACCCTGTGTGACAGTCTCAGAGATAAGCAGAGGGAAAGTGCTGGCGGCGCTTTGCTCAGTCCCTGGATCTAGCTGCAGCTGCGGGTAAATCTACCTGGGGCTGTTCCTTGACCCTTAGCTCTGAGTGTCCACCCATGGTCAGAGAACATTCTCAAATGTTCTCCACTTACTAATGAAAAAGAGAAGAGGACTCAATGCAGTGTCAGAGACGAAGCCTGGGCCTGTGTAACACGAGGGCCTGCTTTATTGGGGTTTCTGTCCTGCCCAGTTTTCATAGTAGTTAGGTCCCAAAGAAATTACACAGAGAGTCTACATAAGTTATAAACTGATTGGCCCATTAGCTCAGGCTTCTTATTACCTCTTAAACTTATATTAACCCATTATTCTTATCTATGTTAGCCACATGGCTCAGTACCTTTTTCAGAGGGGTAGGTCACATCCTGCTTCTTCTGTGATCTGGGCAGGACTGGGAGGAATCCTTCCTAGAATTCTCCTGTTCTCATAGCCCTGCCTCTACTTCCTGTCTAGTTGACCCTGCCTATACTTCCTGCCTGGCCAATCAGCGTTTATTTAAAACATGATTGACAGAATACAGACAATTCTCCCACTCTAGGCCTGGCCGTACTTTGTCACTCCTATGCAGTCCCACCACTACGACAGCTAGGGTGTACGACTGTGTGGCCGGCCCTGTGGATGGTTCGCCTCTCCCTTGACTAGATGCTGTCTTCCTGCCTCTTCTCATTCCTGGTGACTAGGCGAGGAAGGGTTTCCTTTGGCTCGGAATCAGAGGATGCAGTCCCTGTGGTAGGCAGAACAGTGGGATGAGGAGCTTCTAGCTGTTGCCCAAGACTGAGACAGCTGGTGTCCTTCTTCAGGCCACCCTGCACCTGCAGGCAGGAGCAGGGACTACCAGAACTCACCTCATTCTTTCTGCTCTTTTGCATTTAACTTGAGACGGTAGCCCATGGGCAGGTACTGCACACATGCGGGGGAGGGGGGCTCTCCTCTCCTATTATCCCTCTCTGAAAACACTCTCACAGACAGGCCCACGAGTGCGCCTCCTACGTGATTCCAAACCCAGTCAGGGGGACACGAAGGTGAATCGCCACCAGTGCTTTTCTTGGGTCTCATCTTTTCTAAGGAATTCCTTAGACACAATGTTAGAAAAGGCGGAGAACAAAGGGAACGCTGTTTCTGAAATAAGGACTGGAGGAAACATTTCCCCAGTTGTTTGGGGTGGGTGTGGAGTCCTTGAGGGTGCATGTAAGGGGTTTGTACCATTAAGTGGCCCCCTCTTGGGGTCCACTCCCTCCTACAGCTTGCCACAGAGGCGTAATGAAGTGGCCGGCTCCTTGAGGCACGGTCACTTCCTCACTGCATGGCTTCCTTAGAACAGAGCAATTACTAGCGCTTATTTCATTCTATCTTTACAAAGGAACTGTGGGGTAATGGGTCTCCAGGGCGGGAGAGAAAGTCCCCACGTAAGAAGACTGATGTGGAGCAGAAAAGGGATGTCAACACCTGGTTATGCCATGCTGACTTCACTCTCAGCGTGTGGAGGATTCCGGTGAGGGAAACCCCGTGATTACAGCTGGCCATGGCCATGGTGTATGCTTCTAAGCTCAGCACTTGGGAGGTGGAGGCAAGAAGATCACGGGCATCTTCCACCACATACTAAATCTGAGACCAGCCTGGGTCACATGAGAACTTGTCACAGAAATAAACGAATGTGAGAGAGACTAAGAGGTGGCTCAGTGGTTAAGAGCACTTGTTGCTCTTGCAGAGGAGACCGGGGTTAATTTCCAACACCCACATGGTGCTTCCCAGACACCTGTAACTCTAGTTCCAGGGGATCGGATACCCTCTTTCGACCTCTGCGGGCACCACATACATATGATGCATGTACAATGCTGGTAAAACATTCATACACCATATGCATAAGATAAATAACTATAAACTAGGTGTGATGACACATGCCTGTAATCTCAGCACTTGGGAAGTGGAGGCAGGAGGATCAGAAGTTCAAGGTCTGGGGCAGAGAGATGACTCAGTAGTTAAGAGCATGGACTGCTCTTCCAGAGGATGCAGGTTTAATTCTGAGCACCCATATGGCCGCGCACAACTGAAACTCCAGATCCAGGGGATCCGACACCCTCACATAGATAGACATGCAGGCAAAACACCAAGACACATAAATAACAATAAATAAATCACTAAAAAAGAAGCTCAGGGTATGGTCAATGTCTGTGTCTGTGGCTTCTATACCCACAAACCCCACCAACCTCAGATCAGAAACACTCAGAAAATGAGCCAAGTGTAGTAGCTCAGATCTGGAATTTTAGCCATGAGGGCGGCAGAGGCAGGAGGACCTAGGTGAGCCTGAGGTTGTCTGGTCTTCACAGTTGAGTTCCAGGCCAGCTTATAGCAAGGACCCTGTCTGAAAACAAGCAAAACTGTGCTTTTATAGGTAGACCTCCCTGTTGTCATTATTCCCTAAACCATGCAGCATATTGATTATGCAGTGTTTATATCATATTAATCCTTTTATGTATTCTAGAGATTGTTTAAAGTGTACAAGAGAGGGGTTGCTGAGATGGCTCAATGAAAAAAGGCACTTGCCCCCAAGCCTGGCATCCTGAGTTCAATTCCCAGGTCCCACATAGTAGAAGGAGAGAAGTAACTCCTAAAAGTTGTCCACACATACTATGGCTTTTTATGCCCCTGCCCATAAATAAATGAATATAATAAACTTAAGTATACAGGAAGGCATGCATGAATGATATACACATACCCCAGTTTCTGTATGAGGGACTTGAGATCACAGATTCTGGTGACCTCAGGGGTCCTAGAACTAATAACCTGAAGTAACTGAGGGACAGTGAACCCTTCTGTGGGATGCTGATCCCAACCTGAACTTAATACAGATTCACGGTCCCTTTAAACGTGTGTGAGCTGGAGAATCACGCTATAGCATCAAAGAACCCACTGTCATCTCCAGTGTGACTAAGTAAACGAGGCTCTTTAGAAAATTGCCATCCAGGCTCCAGACAGAGGTCCCTCAAGTACTTCTAGGCAGGTCAAAAGTTGAGGGAGTAGCCAATTGTAGGCGGAGTTTTCCTGTCCCAACCATCTGGTCCCAAATAACCTACACAAAGACTTAATATTACGTATAAATGGTCAGCCGATAGCTCAGGTTTATTACTAGCTAACTCTTACACTTAAATTAACCCACATTTCTTATCTATGCTTCACCACGTGACTCAAGGCATGTTACCTCATTTTCTACACATCCTGCCTCCCCTGCATCTGCTGGCACCTCCTCTGATAACCCTTCTTCATCCCAGCATCCTCTGCTTGATTGCCCGGCCTTACTTTAGCCTGCCTTGCTATAGGCTAATCAACTTCTTTATTAACCAATGAGAGTAATACATATTCACAGTGTACAGAAGGATTACTCCACAGCAGTCAATGGTGATGCACTACCTACTCAACTCTGAGCTATTTCAGCATTACAGAAGCAGGACAGCTGTAGGCACACTTCAGACACAAGGCCACAGGGCTCAGAGTGGGCTGCAGACACTCTTTTGTTTTGAGGTGGGCTTTTGCTGTTGTTATTGTTAATTTTTTTGGACGGGGTCTCCCTATGTATGAAGCCCTGGTTGTCCTGAAACTCACTATGTAGATCGGGCTGACCTCTAACTCAGAGATCCACCTGTTTGTGCCTCCTGAGAGCTGGGATTAAAAGCCTGCAACACCTGACATGATTTTGGTTTTTTGTTTGTTTGTTTGAGACAGAATCTCACTGTATAGCTGAGGCTGGCCCTAGAACTCTTTATTTAGACCCGGCTGACCTCAAACTTGTGATCCTTCTTCCATCTGAGTTCCCTGAGTGCTGGAGTTGCCTATGCTCCCATGCCCAGTTTCCGTAGCTATGCTCAGAGGCGCTCAGGAGACTGACCCACCAATCTGGCAGGATGGAAGGGAAGAAGACATTTATTTTGCTTCTTCAAGCATGACATGCAGATATTTACAGGAGAATCACAGCCAGTGCCCTAGGATCTGATCAGGTACCACAGCTCCGAGCTAAGGCATTGCTCCAGTCATGGCTGCTGGTGTCTGCTCAAACCATGCGGTGAAATGCCAGAGGGGAGCCAGGATGGCAACACTTGAATTCGACACTCAGTGCTAACATCACTGAGTTGGGCACTGAGATGGTTTGTGCCTCTAAAGAGCCCGGAGTGGCTCACGGCACTACTACAAAGCACTCTTGAGGATGGAGCCGCAAACCTTTTTCTCAAGAAGGGTCAGGCCTTTTCCCTTGCTGTGGCTGCTTTGCTTGCTGTCTGCAAGGCTCATGGTGAAAGTCAGTCCCCACTGAAGGCTGCCGGGAAGATGGGGCCCATGGGAGGTGACTGGATTAAAGTTATCAGAGAGGGTCTCCCGTGAACAAATCCCAGGGGCTCTATAGGAAACATACCAGAGGGCATGCATACAAACATACAAACACAACATATACACACATGTACACATACATATACCTCCCATACACACTCACATGCCTAACCTTGTAATTCCCTGGGTCACTTTGCTACTGCCAGCCACAAGGTTATTACTAATTGTGAAATCTGAACCTTAGATTAGAACCAAAAGCTAAAGCAAACCTCTCTCTTTTATAATGAGCCCAGCCTGTAGCACTGTTTTATTAGTGACAGAAAATTAACTAATAGAGAAAATTGGTGCCAAGGACTGGGGTTGTCACTGTCATTGTCCCTGCAAAAATGAAGTGGCTGTCCTCCCAACTCTGTGGGAAGGACCCTGTGGGCCTACCACGAGCTCATTACCTAAACCCATCTTGGACTGGAACTTCTTGTTCTCTGATGTAGTGTTCTAGCCCATAGTACCATAGAGCCCTCACTCGTGCTGGCAGAGCTCTCAGGGGTATCTGCAGGAGGCTTGTCTTGCAGGTGTATACAAGGGTGTCTAGGCAGCCAGGCAGAGTCGCTGTGGTGTTACAGCCTGCCAGGAGCCTCCAGTGGATGTGGGTGTGCGTGCATGTGTGTATGTGTGCGTGTGCGCATGTGTGCATGCTCACATGTTGGGATAGCAGCCATGAGGACCCACAGAGTTGCAGGAGCCAGGCTGTACAGGAAGGCCGTCAGATCTCTCTACTGCTACAGAGGATGTTGGACTTTAAATCTATCCTGCTGGGTTTGTCTTGCTTTGGACTGATGACTTCGGTCTGCTTTACTCCTCTCTGCATCAGGAATGCTTGTCCTATCTTGGCCCCGCCACTAAATAGTAGAAGGAGGGAACCTGGCTTGGAGTTTTTCGGGAATCGCAGCTGGGAAAGGACATCTTAATACTCAGAGGACATTTTGGACTTAGATTTGGAGTGACGTGCCATGATACTTGGGGACCACTGAATACTCCCTGCATCGTGAGTTGGGCGTGAGCCTTGGAGGGAGGGCGGTGCTATGGTTTGACTGTGTTCCCCAAGAGCTCATATTGGAGGAGCAAGGTCCGCAGTGTGGGGAATGGAGAGGATGTGTGGGGACCTTTTAAGAGGTGGGATCCAGTGGGAGGCTTTGGGTTGTTGGGATGTTGTCCCCGGAAATGATTAAGTAGTTCTCTTGCAATCTCTGCCTTGAGAGTTGTCACGGGAAGAGCTTGACCCTCTTCCTCACCGTGGCTTTCTGTCTGGTCATGGGATCATTTTCTCTTGCGTGTGCTTTTGCAGTCCTTGTCAAAGCTAGTGCTATGCTATCCTGACACTTTCAGTCTCCAATACTAGAAGCTAAACAACCGTGTGTTCTTTATAGTCAGCCAGCCTCAGGTGGTCCTTTATGCTAACAGCCCATTTTCTACAAAATACGCGGATGGAGGAACACACCAAAGATTGTGAGGTAAGAGTCTACCATGACCTTGTCATGCAGACTAAAAGCAGTAGGACCTTGGCTAGATCCTGACTTAAACCAACAAACAAATTCTGGGGTCATCATGAATGCTCCCCATACTGGTAACATGAAGGAGTTATACTCATTTGGATGAATGTAGAAAGGGCACTGTGATTATATATTTTTTAACACATCTTGAACTGTATTACAAATATGCACTAAAGTAGTTCTAAGTGAAATAGCATTGTCTAGGATTTGCTTGAAAATTCTCAGGGTAGGGGTGGGTGAGATGGGGCAGGGTTGGGTAAAATGGCTCAGAGAATAAAGGCATCCATTGAAAAGCCTGACTACTTGGGTTTGATTCCCAGAATCCACACAGTAGGAAGAGAACAGATTCTCTAAGTTGTTTTCTGACCTCTCCATGTGTATAGCCCCCGCCACACGCATCACACATGTGCTGTGGCATGTATACCCCCAGCCCCACATGAAGTAAACTGAACACGAACATAAATGCTGGAGATCTGTACGGCTCAGTGGGCAAAGTGCTTGCCACGTCTGTGTGCCCACTGGGGTTCAGATCCCCAGGACCCACATAAGCGTAAGGTAGGCATGGTACCAACACTCAGAAGACAGAAATAGGGGATCCCTGGAGCAAGCTGTCTGCCTAGAGTCTGTATATCACTGAGCTCAGGGTTCAAGCAAGAGACCCTGCCTCAATGAATTAGATAAAAGAGTAATTGAGGAAGACTTTGGATGCTAGCCTGAGGCCTTCACAAGTATTCCCATATACACACAAACAAACACCCCCCAAGGAGACAGGAAAAAATGTTAAAATAAAACAATGAAAACCCACAACAGATGAGTTGCAGCATCAGTGGTAGGGTGGTTGTCCAGCACTTATAAAGCCCTGGGTTCATTCCTTGGTACTGGAAAAGAAGAAGAGAAGAGGAAGAGAAGGGGGAGGAGGAGGAAGAAAGGGGATAAAGGAGAAGGAAGAAGAAGAAGGTGATGAAGATGAGGCTGGAGAAATGACTTGTTGTGTAAGAATAAGGACCTGAGTTCAGATCCCCAACTCTTATATAAAATCCAGGCACAGGGCTGGGTATGGTGGTACACAACTTTAATCCCAGTGCTCTGGAGGTAGAAGCAGATGATCTCTGAGTTCAAGGCCACCCTGGTCCTTTGTAGAGAGTTCTAGGCCACAATGACAGGGATATAGTAAGACCCTGTCTCAAACAAACAAACAAACCAAAAACCCCAACCTAAAAGCTAGGTATAGAAGTAAGAGCCTCTAATCTAGCACACAGGGCAGAAACAGGTGCATCAGGAGGCTCATTGGCCAGCCAGCTTCAGGTTCAATAAGGGACCCTCATCTTGGGGCTGGAGAGATGGCTCAGAGGTTAAGAGCACTGGCTGCCCTTCCACAAGTCTCGAGTTCAACTCTCAGCAACCACATGATGGTTCACAACTCTCTGTAATGAGATCTGGTGGTCTTTTCCAGTCACCAAGTATACATGCAGACAGAACACTGTATACATAATTAATAAGGAGAGAGAGAGAGAGAGAGAGAGAAAGAGAGAGAGAGAGAAAGAGAGAGAGAGAGAGAGAGAGAGACCCTGTCTCAAATAAATAAATGAAAATGAAGGTGGAGAAGAGTTGGAGGAAAGACATCTGGCTTTGACTTGTACCTGCACAGCCAGCCAAGAGTACTCACACAAACACACAATTCTCCCCCCCCCCTCTCTCTCTCTCTCTCACACACACACACACACACACACACACACACACACACACACACAACAGTTAAGGGGAGGAGATGGGAGGAACAGTAGACCATAGAGAATTATAGCTCCTTGTAACTACTCTATTTGTGTGAACTTTTGAGAATCTCCTTAATGCAACTTGCTCTGAACCTGCTTTGGTTTTCTGTGAAGTGTTCCCTGCCTCAGGGCAGGGTTTTGCGTGTTCCCCCTTCATCACGAGGTGTCACACACATGGAAGAATTCTGTTGGGTCAAGTCTAGGTAGAGCCTGGGAAGCTGGGGGTTAACATCTTGTTCCTGGCAGCTGAGCTTCCCCACAGCTGCCAGCAATTAGGCTAGCTGGAGGCCCCCTAGGAAAATCCTGCTGCCTGATTAGGGACTAATTGCTAGCCAGCATCTAAGTCCCCAATCAATAGAAATGGAGATCCACCAGGGAAAGCCTGGGCAGGCAGCGAGGCTGCCTCCCGAGAGTGTGTGGATGAGCGTGAACCAGGTAACTAGACTCCTGCACATGGCCCAACCCATCTGCGCCCACCCCGCCAGTTTTTCTGGAAACTGTGGAACACCCTCAAGGTTCCCCCTTCATCACAGTATTCGATCCTCATTATGGTTTGACTAAAGTGTGTTTCTGCCCCCAGATCACACAATAACCTTCCTTCCCTTAGCACCCTTGATTTAACATTTTATGTTATGTGTATAGGTCTTTCGCCTGCATGTATGTCTGTGCAGAAATCAAAAGAGGACATTGGATCCCCCAGAACTGGAGTTACAGATGGCTGTAAGCCATCATGAGGGTGCTGGGAACGGGACCCAGGTCCTGTGGAAGAGCTCTTAGCTGCTGAGGCCATCTCTTCAACTCATGAGTCTAGCTATAGAGTCTTGCTATAAAGCTCAGCTTGGCTTCAAATTTGCAGTAATCTGCTTGCCTTGGCCTTCTGAGTGCTAGAATGTGGCAGGGAACAGGATTAACCACGGCTGGAAAGCTGGCATCACTTCCCTTGTCCCACCCCAGACAGGGGCTTGTGTAGCCCAGGATGTTAAATCTGGACTTGTGATGACCTCAAAGCATTTCAGAAACTTCCTTAGACTCTCTGAAGGGCTTTCCCCCACACCTTAAGGCTGCAGGAGCACTCCTGAGTATGATGTCATCTGCTGTGTCTGCAGGAGCACTCCCGAGTGTGATGTCATCTGCTGTGTCTGCAGGAGCACTCCTGAGTGTGATGTCACCTGCTGTGTCTGCAGGAGCACTCCCGAGTGTGATGTCACCTGCTGTGTCTGCAGGAGCACTCCCGAGTGTGATGTCACCTGCTGTGTCTGCAGGAGCACTCCCGAGTGTGATGTCACCTGCTGTGTCTGCAGGAGCACTCCCGAGTGTGATGTCATCTGCTGTGTCTGCAGGAGCACTCCCGAGTGTGATGTCACCTGCTGTGTCTGCAGGAGCACTCCTGAGTGTGATGTCACCTGCTGTGTCTGCAGGAGCACTCCCGAGTGTGCTGTCATCTGCTGTGTCTGCAGGAGCACACCTGAGTGTGATGTGACCTGCTGTGTCTGCAGGAGCACTCCCGAGTGTGCTGTCATCTGCTCTGTCTGCAGGAGCACTCCCAAGTGTGATGTGACCTGCTGTGTCTGCAGGAGCACTCCTGAGTGTGATGTCACCTGCTCTGTCTGCAGGAGCACTCCTGAGTGTGATGTCATCTGCTGTGTCTGCAGGAGCACTCCCAAGTGTGATGTCACCTGCTCTGTCTGCAGGAGCACTCCCGAGTGTGATGTCACCTGCTGTGTCTGCAGGAGCACTCCCGAGTGTCATGTCATCTGCTGTGTCTGCAGGAGCACTCCCGAGTGTGATGTCACCTGCTGTGTCTGCAGGAGCATTCCTGAGTGTGCTGTCACCTGCTGTGTCTGCAGGAGCACTCCCGAGTGTGATGTCATCTGCTGTGTCTGCAGGAGCACTCCCGAGTGTGCTGTCATCTGCTGTGTCTGCAGGAGCACTCCCGAGTGTCATGTCATCTGCTGTGTCTGCAGGAGCACTCCCGAGTGTGATGTCACCTGCTGTGTCTGCAGGAGCATTCCTGAGTGTGCTGTCACCTGCTGTGTCTGCAGGAGCACTCCCGAGTGTGATGTCATCTGCTGTGTCTGCAGGAGCACTCCCGAGTGTGCTGTCATCTGCTGTGTCTGCAGGAGCACACCTGAGTGTGCTGTCACCTGCTGTGTCTGCAGGAGCACTCCCGAGTGTGATGTCATCTGCTGTGTCTGCAGGAGCACTCCTGAGCTTGCTGATGTCTGTAGTGTCCGGAAGGTGCCTGAGACAACTTCTTACTGCTCTTCCTTCTGGCTGAACTGGATGTGCAGGAAGGTGTAAGTGATAAGTTACCTCAGGGCAACCACCGCTGCTTGACACAGTTCCAGCATTTCCACACTGCAGACCACACTTCTCCAGCGCCTTTTTACGCTCACTTTTAATGATTCTCACTATTAATGGCTTTTTTTTGGAAAATTTTGGTTTTTTTTCTTTTTTTTCCGTTTATTTATTTATTAAAGATTTCTGTCTCTTCCCCGCCACCGCCTCCCATTTCCCTCCCCCTCCCCCAGTCAAGTCCCCCTCCCTCGTCAGCCCAAAGAGCTATCAGGGTTCCCTGCCCTGTGGGAAGTCCAAGGACCACCCACCTCCATCCAGGTCTAGTAAGGTGAGCATACAAACTGCCTAGGCTCCCACAAAGCCAGTACGTGCAGTAGGATCAAAAACCATTGCCATTGTTCTCAGTAGTGCTCATTGTCCGCTATATTCAGCAAGTCCGGTTTTATCCCAGGCTTTTTCAGACCCAGGCCAGCTGGCCTTGGTGAGTTCCCGATAGAACATCCCCATTGTCTCAGTGTGTGGGTGCACCCCTCGCGGTCCTGAGTTCCTTGCTCGTGCTCCCTCTCCTTCTGCTCCTGATTTGGACCTTGAGATTTCTGTCCGGTGCTCCAATGTGGGTCTCTGTCTCTGTCTCCTTTCATCGCCTGATGAAGGTTAATATTCAGGAGGATGCCTATATGTTTGTCTTTGGGTTCTTCTTATTTAGCTTCTCTAGTATCACTAATTATAGGCTCAATGTCCTTTGTTTATGGCTAGAAACCAAATATGAGTGAGTATATCCCATGTTCCTCTTTTTGGGTCTGGCTTACCTCACTCAGGATAGTGTTTTCTATTTCCATCCATTTGTATGCAAAATTCAAGAAGTCCTTGTTTTTTACTGCTGAGTAGTACTCTAATATGTATACATTCCATACTTTCTTCATCCATTCTTCCGTTGAAGGGCATCTAGGTTGTTTCCAGGTTCTGGCTATTACAAATAATGCTACTATGAACATAGTAGAACATATACTTTTGTTGTATGATAGGGCCTCTCTTGGGTATATTCCCAAGAGTGGTATTGCTGGGTCCAGGGGTAGGTTGATCCCGAATTTCCTGAGAAACAGCCACACTGCTTTCCAAAGTGGTTGCACAAGTTTGCATTCCCACCAGCAATGGATGAGGGTTCCCCTTCCTCCACAACCTCTCCAGCAAAGGCTATCATTGGTGTTTTTTATCTTAGCCATTCTGACAGGTGTAAGATGGTATCTTAAAGTTGTCTTGATTTGCATTTCCCTGATCGCTAAGGAAGTTGAGCATGACCTTAAGTGTCTTTTGGCCATTTGAACTTCTTCTTTTGAGATTTCTCTGTTCAGCTCAGTGCCCCATTTTATAATTGGGTTGATTAGCCTTTTGTGGTCTAGTTTCTTGAGTTCTTTATATATTTTGGAGATCAGATCTTTGTCAGTTGTGGGGTTGGTGAAGATCTTCTCCCAGTCAGTGGGTTGGCTTTGTGTCTTAGTGACAGTGTCCTTTGCTTTACAGTCTTAGGAGGTCCCATTTATTCAATGAGGCCCTTAATGTCTGTGCTGCTGGGGTTATACGTAGGAAGTGGTCTCCTGTGCCCATGTGTTGTAGAATACTTCCCACTTTCTCTTCTATCAGGTTCAGTGTGTTCGGACTGATATTGAGGTCTTTAATCCATTTGGACTTGAGTTTTGTGCATGGTGATAGATATGGATCTATTTTCATTCTTCTATAGATTGACATCCAGTTGTGCCAGCACCATTTGTTGAAGATGCTCTCTTTTTTCCATTATATACTTTTAGCTCCTTTTTCAAAAATCAGGTGTTCATAGGTTTGTGGGTTAAAGTCAGGGTCTTCTATTCGATTCCATTGGTCGACTTCTCTGTTTTTATGCCAATACCAAGCTATTTTCAATGCTGTAGCTCTGTAATAGAGTTTGAAGTCAGGGATGGTAATGCCTCTAGACAATCCTTTATTGTATAAGATTGTTTTGGCTATCCTGGGTTTTTTGTTTTTCCATATAAAGTTGATTATTGTCTTCTCCAGATCTGTGAAGAATTTTGATGGGATTTTGATGGGGATTGCATTGAATCGATAGATTGCTTTTGGTAGAATTGCCATTTTTACTATGTTGATCCTCCCAATCCAAGAGCAGGGGAGATCCTTCCATTTTCTGGTGTCAGCTTCAATTTCTTTCTTCAAAGACTTAAAGTTCTTGTCATATAGATCTTTCACTTCCTTGGTCAGAGTTACCCCAAGATATTTTATGCTATTTGTGGCAATCATGAAAGGTGATGCTTCTCTGATTTCCCTCTCTGTTTCCTTATCCTTAGTGTATAGGAAGACCACTGATTTTTTGGAGTTGATCTTGTATCCTGCCACATTACTAAAGCTGTTTATCAGCTGTAGGAATTCTTGGATAGAGTTTTTGGGGTCGCTTATGTATACTATCATATCATCTGCAAATAACAAAAGCTTAACTTCTTCCTTTCCAATACGAATCCCTTGATCCCCTTATGTTGTCTTATTGCTATTGCTAGAACTTCAAGCACTATATTGAAGAGGTATGGCGACAGTGGACAGCCTTGTCGTATTCCTGAGTTTAGTGGGATGGCTTTGAGTTTTTCTCCATTTAATTTAATGTTAGCTGTCGGCTTGCTGTATATAGCTTTTATTATATTTATGTATGACCCTTGTATCCCTAGTCTCTCCAAGACCTTTATTATAAAGGGGTGTTGAATTTTGTCAAATGCTTTTTCAGCATCTAATGAAATAATCATATGGTTTTTTTCTTTCAGTTTATTTATATGGTGGATTACATTGATAGATTTGCATATGTTGAACCAGCCCTGCATCTCTTGGATGAAGCCTACTTGATCATAATAGATAATTTTTCTAATGTGTTCTTGGATTCGGTTTGCCAGTATTTTGTTGAGGATTTTTGTGTCGATATTCATGAGTAAGACAGGCCTGTAATTCTCTTTCTTGGTTGGGTCTTTGTGTGGTTTTGGTATCAGAGTAACTGTAGCTTCATAAAAGGAATTTGGCAATGACTCTTCTGTTTCTATATTGTGAAATACATTAAGGAGTATAGGTATTAGCTCTTCTTGGAAGTTCTGGTAGAATTCCGCATTGAAAACATCTGGTCCTGGGCTTTTTTTGGAAGGGAGATTTTTGATAACAGTTTCTAGTTCTTCGCAACTAACAGGTCTATTTAGATCGTTCACCTGGTCTTGGTTTAACTTTGGTATATGGTACTTATCTAAAAATATGTTCATTTCTTTCGTATTTTCCAGTTTTGTGGCATACAGGCTTTTGTAGTAAGATCTAATGATTCTCTGAATTTCCTCTGTGTCTGCGATTATGTCCCCCTTTTCATTTCTGATCTTATTAATTTGCATATTTTCTCTCTGCCGTTTGATTAGTTTGGATAGGGGTTTGTCGATCTTGTTGATTTTCTCCAAGAACCAACTTTTTGTTTCATTGATTCTTTGGACTGTTTTCTGTGTTTCTATTTTGTTGATTTCTACCCTCAGTTTGATTATTTCCAGTCTTCTACTCCTCCTGGGCGAGTCTGCGTCTTTTTTTTTTCAAGAGCTTTCAAGTGTGCTGTTAAGTCCCCAATGTATGCTTTCTCCGTTTTCTTTAAGTGGGCACTTAGTGCTATGTACTTTCCTCTTAGGACTGCTTTCATCGTGTCCCAGAGGTTTGAGTATGTTGTCTCTTTATTTTGGATAAATTCAAGGAAGACTTTAATTTCTTTCTTAATTTCTTCCTTGACCCAGATATGGTTCAGAAGTTGACTGTTCAGTTTCCATGAGTTTGTTGGCTTTCTGGGGGTAGCATTGTTGTTGCCTTCTAACTTTAATCCATGGTGATCTGATAAGACACAGGTGGACACTGATATTTTTTTGTATCTGTGGAGGTTTCCTTTGTTTCCGAGTATGTGGTCAATTTTCGAGAAGGTTCCATGAGCTGCAGAGAAGAAGGTATATTCTTTCCTATTTGGGTGGAGTGTTCTATAGATGTCTGTTAAATCCATTTGCTTCATTACCTCCAACAATTCTCTTAATTCTCTATTAGGTTTCTGTCTGATTGACCTGTCCATTGGTGAGAGAGGTGTATTGAAGTCTCCTACTAGTAGTGTGTGTGGTTTGATGTCTGCCTTGAGTTCTAGTAATATTTCTTTTACATAAGTGGGTGCTTTTATATTAGGGGCGTAGATATTCAGGATTGAGACTTCATCTTGATGAATTGTTCCTGTTATGAGTATAAAGTATCCATCCAGATCTCTTCTGATTGATTGTAGTTTGAAGTCAGTTTTGTTAGCAATTAGTATGGCCACACCTGCTTTTTTCTTAGGACCATTTGCTTGAAACACCTTTTCCCAACCCTTTACTCTGAGTAGATGCCTGTCTTTGTGGTTGAGATGTGTTTCTTGCAAACAGCAGAATGTTGGATCCTGTTTTCGTATCCAATCTCTTAGCCTGTGCCTTTTTATAGGTGAATTGAGCCCATTGATATTAAGTGATATTAATGACCAGTGGTTGTTTACTCCGGTCATTCTTATTGTTTTTGGTAGTAGAGTTTGTGTGTCTCCCTTCTTTGAGTTGTGCTGGTGAATGGTCGCTAGATGCCTGAGTTATTGTAGGCAGTGTTGGCAATGTTGGGTTCCTTGGGTTGCGATTTTCCTTCTATTACTTTCTGTAGGGCTGGGTTTGTGGCTACGTATTGTTTAAATTTGTTCTTATCCTGGAATGTCTTGATTTCTCCATTGATAGTGAACAGTAGCTTGGCTGAGTATAGTAGTTTGGGTTTGCATCCATGGTCTCTTAGTTTCTGAAGTACCTCTATCCAGGACCTTCTGGCTTTCATGGTTTCCATAGAGAAGTCAGGTGTAAGCCTGATCGGTTTACCTTTATAAGTTACTTGGCCTTTTTCCTTTGCAGCTCTTAATATTCTTTCTTTAACCTGTGTATTTAGTGTTTTGATTATTATAT